CAAATCTTCTTTTGGAAAGAAGGCTTGTATGAACTATGAGAACAGCAACTTTTAAACAGAGCGTTAACAAGGACAAATGGGCTTGTGAACGCTCTCACATGCATTTAATAGGCGTTCCCTCTCGTGAGTGGGTACAGGGTTGTACATGTGCAAGTGGAGAGGGTGGGTCTTTTCAAAAATTAGCAAGAATCCTCCATTATACCTTCAATCACAATATATGTTGTGTTGATTAATTAGATTTTATTCTGTTAGAAAAAGGTTAAACTGACACTATAAAGTGTTTGGTGGGTGCATTTATTTTCCACTATACTCACAATGGAGCGCGCTTCGCCTTCGCTGTCTCCAAGCAGCCTGTTGATGTTGATAGACTGACCGTACTCTGTGGTGAGAAGCTTCCGGAGCCTCTGCAGAGCCCACATCCTGTGCCCAGCAGCTGTACAGAAAACAAATCTTCTAGTTTCACTTTAAAGGTTCAAATAACCTTGCATATATATGAGCATGTCAGGGTTATAATAATGGATTTGTAGGGCTATTGTGATTCACCTAATGCACTGAGCTGGGCACAGGCAGCGAGGGAAGCAGCAAGACGAGGGACGATGCTCCTGTTCGAAGCAAAGTTGAGCCGGAAGTCCAACAAGCATGTGACCAAGTCCATGGAGGGGCAGGACAGGATGCAGCGGTCAGACAGCAGGTCTTTAGGACCTGAGGGAAGGAAGAAAGTCAATGCAGGTCTGAAGCAATTGCTTTGCTGCAGTATCATTTAGTGCAGAGTAAAATCCACTGACCAGCAGCAGGCATGATGGGGTAGACTGTGAACCGCCAGCCCCAACCATTAACCGATCCATCACTGGTAAACTTCCATTTCAGTTCATCTCCTGGGATCCTTAATTCGCTGGACCAGTCGGACCACTCTCGACCTGAAAAACACCAGATATCCATTTCTTATTCTCTCATTTTATGCTGTTGTAAGACAGTAAAGGGTAAGGCATCGCAGCCTGATTACCTGATCTGACAGAGACGATCCTGTTGGCTCCGTCCATGACGGTTAGCGGGTCGTGGCGCCTCTCAGTTGAACACTGCCGGTCAAACTCAATCCTCAAACCCTCAGCACCTACCAAACAAAGTGGAAATAGTTTATTCCTTTTTTATGGATTTATATTTCACGTTTTTTTTTTTTTTTTACAAAAAAGGATTCAGCTCAGTTTTTACAGACAGGCAAAATAAATCAGTCAGGCTTTTCAGCAAAAACATTAGGTAGGTTTTGAATAAGTAAAAAAAATACTATTAAGTGTGGTAGAAGATCTATCATGCTGTGGGCCTGTCTATCAGGGAAAACATCCATTGGGGCAGACATTTTCAACCAGGACAAATATTAAAAAACTTCAATCAGCCTTACTAACTTAGCTCTTATTGGTTAAACAATTCTATTTAAACATGTTTGACATTAACTATTACAATATAAAAAACAAAATTAAACACTACAGTAAGAAGTTTCTTTTTCTTCTCTTTTATAATCAGAATGTTGGTTCACCTTCATGGGGATTTTGCAGCCATCACTTCCTCCTCTGCCTAATTTCCCATAATCCCCGTCTCCCCAAGACCAGACCATGTCATCATCGGTTAGACACAGCGTCTGAGCGTCTCCGCTGCCACATGCAACATCGATCACCCTGTGACCCTGGAGTGCATCGACCTAGAGGAAAAACAGGTTGTTTATTGGTAGGAGGAGAAAAAACATGGTACGGTAAGAGAGCAGGCACAATAAATTTGTTTGGAAAGTGGGTAGCACTGCTGCCTTGCAGCAACAAGGTTTCAGGTGCGGTCTTTCTTCATGGAGTTTGCATGTTCTCCCTAAGCATGCGTGGGTTCTCGCCGGGTACTCCGGCTTCCTCCCACAGTCCAAAAACAGTCATGCTAGGTTAATTGGCTTCTCTAAATTCTCCTTAGGTGTGAGTGTGTAAATAGTTGTTTTTTTCCTGTTTGTCTCTGTGTTTCCCTGCGATGGACTGCCGACCTGTCCAGGGTGCACCTCGCCTCACGCCCATAGACAACTGGAGATAGACACCAGCACCCCTTGCGACCCCGCTTAGGAGAAGCGTGACAGAATGGAATATAAACCGATTCTGGAAGAATTTGTGTACATGGGAAGTGACATATACCCTAAATGTTAGACATAGACTTATGCAATTCAATTTTTTTAAATCAGCTTTATATTCTTACCCCACATAAACTATACAAATTTAGCTGTGTTACTGCTCTAAACTACAGTGGTTTCAGCAGGTGGTGCGGGGTGTTCTCTCAGACATTTATGGGGTTACGTTCATAAATTCCAAGTTAAAGACAAATCATGCAGAGGAGAGGACAGAAATCCTTTAGGTAAATGCAGAGAAATGGATTGTGATCCCATTCCTGTTGAAATATGGCTTTCTGAAAATAATAATTGTTTATCATTAAATAAATAACTCATTAGCAGCAGAAACAAAATAAGTAAGACTTCGGGCAGAATAGGGCGGCCATTTTAAGGAAAAACCACAATGGGTTCACTGACTTTCCTCTTATCTGTATTTCTCATTACAAAATACTTTAATGAATATACCTCCCAATTTTTATTTTAGTAGTTGTTTTTTTTATTGTTTATTGTTGTTATTTTATATTTCATGTATGGAACATCTGCAATGTTCTTGGATTTGATTTGATTTGACTTTGTCTAGTTAGTTAACAAAGGTAACATTGCTTTTGAAAAGTAAAAACTTACATTTTCTAAAAAAAAAAAAAAAAAAAAGTAAACAAACAAACCAGTTTGGGTTTAAGTTGGTCCTCGCTGTCTCCATGGCCCAGCCTTCCATAGCGACCCTTGCCCCAGGTGAAGAGCTCTCCGCTGGCTGTGATGCAAGCACTGTGCGCCCCGCCGGCAGCAATATCCACCACCTCCACGCCTCTTAGAGACTCGATGACACGAGGACGGTCACAGGGACTATGAAAAAAAAAAAATTCCAGTTATGGTAGACGAGTAAAACCTTCAACACAGCTCTGATCATCTACAGGCTGCAGAGATGTGCAGACATCCCAATAGTCAATTTTCTTGTTGAGCAACTGGTTGACTGTTTACCTCCTGTTCCCATGGCCCAGCTTTCCATCCTCGGCCTCACCCCACGAGTAGACCTCTCCCTCAGAGGAGAGGGCCAAGCAGTGCTTCCCTCCAGAGTTCACCGCCACCTTCCTGATGAACACGTGTTGGATGGACTCCAGCAACGTAGGGGTGGACACAGATTCTGTGCCACCGATTCCTAACCTGCCTCCTGCTCCGTATCCAGTAGCGTACAGCTGAGGATTAAGATTGAATCCAATTAGCACCTCCTAAAGTTTTATATATTTATATGACTGTCGCAGCTCACCTTTCCGTCGGCTGTGACTGCAAACAAGGTCTGCTCTCCTCCGATGAGCTGCACCGGCCTCAACGTGGCGAGGGCTTCTGTGGGGGTGGGCACTTTGACTTTAGCCCCCTCTATGCCCCCCAGCTGGCCTCTATGGTTGTGGCCCCACCCATAGATGGTGCCGCTCCCTCCAGCAGAGAGGGTCCAGTCGTCAGGGCGACGGTTCATCCACTGAACAAGCTGCTCGTCGTGCTCCCGCTTAAACAGATCATGGCTCTCGTGGAGGCCGTTCATGCTCTCATGGTCAGCCATTAACTCACGGATTTTCTTTGTGACCTTCAAAGGTGAGGAAATATTTTTATTTTTATGGATATTCAGACACTCATAAGTTATCAAAGACAGTGGTGGACTGACTTCATCCAGGAAGGCTCGAGGTAGAGACGTCCTCTTATCTAGAGCGATGGCCACTCTGGAGGCGGTGCAGTATCGGCGGAACCAGGCCCACTTATGGGTCTCAGCACAGCAGGGAAGTGTATCAAGCTCCAGATCACAAGCTAGAGCGACCAAGACCTGGACAGCATGTCACAATTAGACCACGAGAGAAACGTTCACACATATACATGCGTCATTATTACCAGTCCTGCAGCTTACCTTGAAAAACGGACTATGAAGCAGCTGCTTTCCTCCCCTGACGATGGGGTCCTCGTACTCATACTGCCTCTGCAGAGCTTCAGGAAGGCCTTTCACCAGAGCAGCCAGAGCACTGCCTGTGAAGCTCTGAAAGAAACAGCATTAGATCCTCATCACTTCTAAATACATCAGAACAACAAACAACTGTGTTCCTTTTACAAATAAATGACCTGACTTATATTTAGGGCTGTAACTATCGATTATTTTAATAATTGATTCATCTATTTATTATTTTGGAAACTTGATTAATTAAAAAAAAAAACATATTTTCAGTGAATTAACATTTCTAGATATTAAAATGTTTAGAATTTAAAAACAAATCTCTTTTTTGGACATTTGAAAGGAAAACAATGTACACTCATATGTTCATGTATATAAATATTAAGAAGATTATAGAAGATTTAAGTAGGAAATATTAATACTTTTGTTATACTTCCTGCCCTAATTAACTGATTATTCCAATTAGTCGCCCAAACACAAATTATGTTGCTTAATTTGCCACTAAAAGATTAATAAACAGAATTAAGACCTGTAGAGATTAAGACTAAAAACCTTTTTACATAAAACATGTTTGTCTATTGTGGCCAGAGCAGGCTAATAAAAACACATTAAATAAACAGAGAGCCATAGAGAACCCAGTCAAACATACTTCACCTGAAAGCTACCTGGTTGCCGTGACAACAACCCTCTTTGATCTGGGAGTTGGGACAACTCAAAGCTAGCCCTCATAGGTTTAGATGAACGGCTAAATTCAGTTTTATACTTTTAGAACATGCAGAACTTTTAGAAATCTGTTACGTTAGTAAAACGCAGTACAGTTATTAAGCTGGGACTTCAATTATACAGATGATCCCATTTAAATTATATCTGCCTTTATAACTAATTGTTATTTGATCATTAGATCTGTAGTTTGTCCATCACACTTGTCAATAGGGTCAAAGTCCAAAGATGGTTGGAATATGTGATAAACATTAAAACGGGATAATCATAGGTGTCATAAGAAAGAGTCAATCTTTCCATTTCATGAGTTTCTATCCAGTCTTCGATAATTGGGCTACAGTCACTCAACCATCTTAGTTATTGTCTTTTTAGTAAACTGAAGTAATATTTGCAATAAATGCATATCCTCCTTTTTATGTCCAGTTTACCCAAGTAGATTAAACTGAAATCAGGCGGTAATTGAAAATCCAAAATGAAATTGGTTTTGGTTACACTGCAAAAAATGTAAATAGGTGGGTAATTTTTTCTTAAAATAAGTGCATTTTTTTCTTGAATTGAGCAGGTAAGTGAGACACATTGCCAATGAAATAAGACAATTTACATTTAAAATAGGCAAACAACTGGAGAGCCTTATTTCAAGTGCATAACATCTAATTAAAAATGCTCATTCTATTGGCAGATCATCTTATTTTCCTGCTCAAATTAAGGTAAATACACTTATTTTAAGACATTTTTTCTCATTTTTAGAACGTTTTTGCAGTATATTACTTCAGTCCAGCAGAGGGACAGCTTAGGACAGCCCAAATAAATGTGGAGCAGACCT